TATATCCACAAAACATCTAATCGCAATTTAACGTTCATTGGGTGTGGTCTATGACGTCACAAGAACGACCAAATTACATGTACTTAGGAGGAGATGCGACACGCAACACACATGTCAGTAGCAGCCGGTGAACATGTGCGGTCAAAACATGTGGCCGGTCATCCATCACAACTCACAGTGCCAAGCAAAGTTTCTGTTGTGGAGTTACCGGTATATCAAGCTATATAAAGTAGGCCTATTATATAGCCTATAGGACAGAAAAGCCTCAATAGTAGTTTATGACCATTAGTAGGCTGTTGCAAGGGGGTGAATGGGATACAAGACAAACCGAAACAGTTCTACTTAAAAATTTAATTATCCGAAAATGACATCGTGAACAATCTCGTAACTGATTTAATAAAGTTTGACATAATGAACGACGTGATATAGCCGTACAGTAGCCTATTCTTCACCCCAAAAACCCTCCAACCTGCAACATTTGCACCATTATGGAAAATCTGATATTTCAGCGCAAAAAATGTAGATGTTAGATATGATCATATAGTTTAGTCCGAGTTTGGTCTAATATTGAGCAAGTCAACACATAGGCCTACCGAGGGGGCTCATACTGAGTCAATCATGCCTCCAAGGTCATCTATTTGAGTGTTTCAAATGTGCAGTCAACTCCCTAACCGGTGCTGTGTGAGTCCTATCTTTTGCAATCACCTCAAAAGATTTGAAGAATGATGTTTCTCTGCGTTTCATTCTAATAGGCTATACTCCTAACCTTGTTGACCAAGTCTGGTGCTGAAATCCACATGCGGCGCAGAGGCAATAGTCTCAACAACTTTGAGAGATGGACAGGATGTTTTGCCTGATCAACTGTCTAATCAACCGTCACTAAAATTGTTAAAATTAATCAAACTGTGTTTTCGAGGGTAGGCACACATCTCAGTGGATAAGACAACCTATTGATGAGCCAATTCACTGTCTCAAGCACCCATGTGCTGTCATTTATTATACAAATCGGACGGTGTCTCAAAAGGCCAAATGTATGGGTGAAATTGTGAGAAGTAGATTATAAACTACTCATATCTATTGATATCTTATTTCTAGATGAAAATATTTTTTAAATGGTCCCTCTTCTAATTTCCTATACAGTCATGTGCGTTAATATAGTAGCCTAGCTGGAATTGCGCAACACAGATCGTGACAATAAAAGAGGGCATTCATTTTGTAAAACATGGCACCAAAATCCAGAGCAGATGGACAGTCTTTCTTTTATCGGTGAACTAAATCAGCACTGTCTTTCATACTTTTAGCGGAGGATAATGGCTCAAAATGTAGGCTACCTTTCTGTGTCAGGCAGATGTTAATGTATAATTTAATTTGACAAATGTCAGACACCATGCATCCTAATTTTAACTTCTGGTACAGCATGTGCCAAAACATTTTTTTGAGGGTTTTATTGCAATGTTACTTCTATTTCGTGCCAACAAGTGTTGACTTGATAAAGGTTGGACAAATTTGGGCATAGTTCGAGAAAATAGCCAACAGACTGAGTTACATGGTGGTTTTAAGTTGCATGCCCGCTCCTTCTCATTCACAAATTAAACACCCTTATAAATGTGTTTATTCCGCTTTACTTACTACACCGCCTGCACTGGACTCCAGATGTTTCAAGCAAATTATCCTTATTTTGTCTAATTTGTCTCATCCATTTTTAACCATGGCGTCTCATTCATAATGACGTTTTCAAACAGACAGAAGTAGAACTGAGTCAACACAATTCATATTTCTGTCAAAAATCGGAAGGAGTGAAACTAAGGAAATAAGCATTGATGTTGAGAATAATGACAGATGACAACCTGGGACGTCATGACAGTGTGCAGCGCGTCTTTTTTGTCGGGTGTAATGTAAATGGACTAGGCTATTGTAAAAACAGACTGTCTGCAATCAATAAACCCCACAATATCATATGTCATTCTGCATTTAAGTTCTAATTCAACGAGCCTCTGGAATGCTGGAATTAAATAAAGTTTTTGATTCTGCTGTATATTTAGGTGGGAAATCAAGAAATGGAGGCAATGGAACTCAGCGTAAAATGTTCCGTAGGCTATGTTCTAAGCTTCACTTACTATTAAGTTTTGTATATCTCATATATTGAGCATAACAGTCGTTTCTCTTCTCATAAATAGCCTAACATAGATACAATTAACACCCGCCCCTTCCCTCACTTTTCCTATTTCTTACCTGCTGTCCTAAGCTTGTTCTCCAGTGGCGACAGCGTTTCGCAGCTTCCCCGGTTTTTCCCCGGCAAGGCTTCGAGTTTTTTAATATTTTCCCTTACTTTGTTTCATTTCTCACTTCCATCTTCTTTCATCTCATCAATAAACACACGCTGCAGCCTACCTTCATAGAGGACCTCAACGAGTTCAAATGTACCCACCCATTTTTTAACTATACGTTGAATATTTTGGACAGGCACGCCTTTTTACTTACGATTGGAACAGAGAGCCATCTCTTGAGCGGTGTAGGTTGGAAGATATATTGGTCAGCGTGGTTTTGCCCCAATCATTGAGTCGTACACCCTCTCTACGGAGCGCATTGGGACGGTGAAACTGGCTCCATTGTGGCTCTGAAATAGTAAATGTTCCTCCTACGCAGACGGGGAAGTTGTTTGATCCAATATGGACAACCGAAGGCTGTAGTTTCATAATTAAATTCTGCTCTCTGGGTCTTCAAATGTTCATCCATGCAGAATGTATGTCTTGTTCGCACAATGTTCTTTAAGGAAATCATTTTTATACAGGTCATCAAGTGTTCATTTCATTTTAAAACCTTTTATCCGAAAATATAATGAAACAGGCCTATATTGGAATTATGGCTCTTGGTCTATAATTTAAACAGAAGTACTCTCTCAAGTCTCAATATTCCATTCTCGATCAAAAGGGCAGTCAATTGAGAATTATGTCGATCATGTGTCTGTACTTTGCATTGGACAAAGTCGTTGTCAGTAACCGCTACCGATTGGTTTGCAGCTTTATATTGGATGACGTAGCTGCCTATCATTTTTTGTACCAACAAGCTAGATTGCCTGCCGTGTCTTTTACTTTCTACGCATTTCTATTTTCTCATTTATTTATTTTTCAACGTCCCTAGCTGACCTCAAGCCAAGTGGGGAAAAAATGCTGACGGTTTAGCTGGCCAATCAGATTGAGTAAAGCAATATTAAAAAATGTTGTTCTCCAATGCGTTCACATATAGACGTACAGTATGTTCTGACTGGCAAGAAATAAAGAAATAGTGCATCGTGTGGGACCCCCCTTCCTCGTGCCCCCTCCTTGTCTAGACAGTGACAGGTGTGTGTGCGCGCGTGTGCGCGCTTGTCTGATGTCTAGACTGCAATAATCAGCCTTAGACTGAGCTGAAGTTAATGTTTATTGTATATTCTAAACATCGTGGGCTATTCGTTGCAGGCAACACCACGAGATGTTGAACGTATCTGCAAAATCCCAAGTATCATTTACATTCTCATACGGAATTATGCTTATCAGGAGGTTCTGTTTCATGAATAAAACTATGTTGTAGGATAATTAGGCTACGTGTGTCATAGCATAATAACAATAATACGCGTGCTTCGGCCTACTATAATAATAGATTATGAAAGACAATTTAGAGAACCATTGAGCAAGTGTAGCCCAGTAAAATCAAATAAGCGTATTTCCTATTTCGCTTTGTCCAGCAAGACAAATCTCATAACTACAACCAATGTACAGTTTAGGCTGGGTGTCGCGTCAAACAAACGCCATTTCTCATGGCAGTAGCCTAAGTGTTCATCCCGATTTGTAGATTTACGGATATTGTGAGACGTATGCTTTTAGTTGATTACGAGCGCCATCTGGCGGATATTTGTATGTCATTTTATTATGGGTTCAGGTTCAGGGGCGGACACCCTCGGTGTCACAGAGGCTGCAAACTGTTAGACTACTAACCTACATATAAAAACAATATTCGGTTGTAGACATGACACCAACTGAATACAACGATCATTCTTTTGAACATTTTGAATACATTTCCTAACACTTTAAATCAATATTATTAGGCACAGCAGGCATATTTATGGATGCATCTAGTCTAAATCGTTTCTATAGTTATTTATTATTTTACACACAGCACCATTTATTATTGCAATGAACAAAATTATTTCAGCAATAAGTGGCATTTGTAGCTGTTCCATGAATGATTGATGAATGATTCTGTTCCACAGAAAATATGATATTGGGAGAATATTGTGGTCCTCTGTAGCTCAGCTGGTAGAGCACGGCTCTTGTAACGCCAATGTAGTGGGTTCGATCCCCGGGACCACCCATACACAAAAATGTATGCACGCATGACTGTAAGTCGCTTTGGATAAAAGCGTCTGCTAAATGGCATATTATTATTATATTATTATATTGCTAAGGTATCCCGTATCCAGCACTTCTCTACTACCAGACAGACTTGTGTCTTCTGCACTGGCTCAAATTCACTACTGGGTGCCTTTCTATACCTTTGAAAGGTGTATAAATGACTTCACAAAAGCTCTTGTTTACAGTTGCTGGGGAAACGTCTAACTCCCGCCCTGGGGAGGTTCACGTTCAGCCACCACTGCGCCTAAAGATCAGTGGCATTGACATTTTGTAGTAACTGAGGAAAAACAACCCCTTGTCATACGAAAAGGTTGGTGTGTGTGAATTAATTTCAGTCATTTCGTTTTACTGTTCATAAAGTTCTGTGCTGATATAGGCTAATGAGAGCAGACGCAATTAGAAACCTGTTCTATTTTCTTCATTTCTCAGAACATGTCACTTTTAAAAACAGGGTATGGATTTGCCAGACCATTTCACTCTTTCATTCCTCAGAGGTCATTGTTCATGCCAATTGCATCACTGAAACTCCTCCTAGTCCTGTATACAGGTTTTTGGAGTGTCATATCATACAGTATTGAAAAATGACAATGTAATAATTTCCCTGCTCAGATGGCAGACCCAGCAACAACAGACAAAGTGCTTTTAACAGAGACTTCAGAACTGTCTTCATGCTCTGTGCCATCCTACTTGGACCCCTATGAGCGCTCTGTAAAATACATGGAAAGCCATCAAATTCTTCAGATCTTTCAGGTGAGAAAAGCACCTTACTTCTGAAGTGAAATAAAAGTTGATGATCATGAAACATGGGCATACAGTGTTTCCAGTATAATCATATTTTTGTGTGATCTTTCTACAGGAGATTACTGAGAACCTGGTTTTTGACAGGCCAGATGATCCTCTTCAGTTCATGTTAGAACAGGTTAGATGACTCCTTTATGTTTTTAGATAAAGGCCTAGAGACCATACAGATACAATAACCTATTGCACGTTTTGCCTAGCCTCTTGGCAACAAGGCAGCAATACTGCCCAGGCAATCTGAACCCTTTAAAATCCTTTCATTGCTCTTTTTTTTACCCTGTGTGTATTGCCACATATAAACAGAGGGTGAGAGATGGGTTGTTTAAATTTAATTAAATTAAATATTAAATAAAATATTTAATATGCCATTTAGCAGACGCTTTTATCCAAAGCGACTTACAGTCATGCGTGCATATACATTTTTTTTGTGTATGGGTGGTCCCGGGGATCGAACCCACTACCTTGGCGTTACAAGCGCCGTGCTCTACCAGCTGAGCTAGCAGAGGTGGTGGGTTGTTGTTGGGTCCCTGTAATGTCACCATGAATCCGCCTCACTATGTAGCCAACATTATAAACTGGGTGGTTCGAGCCCTGAATGCTGATTGGCTGACAGCCGTGGTATATCAGACCGTATACCACAGGTATGACAAAACATTTATTTTTACTGCTCTAATTAAGTTGGTAACCAGTTTATAATAGCAATAAGGCACCTTGGGGATTTGTGGTATATGGCCAATATACCACGGCTAAGGGCTGTATCCAGGCACTCCACAATGCATTGTGCCTAAGAACAGCCCTTAGCCATGGTATATTGGCCATATACCACACCCCCTCATGCCTTATTGCTTAAGTACAGTGGGGAAAAAAAGTATTTAGTCAGCCACCAATTGTGCAAGTTCTCCCACTTAAAAAGATGAGAGGCCTGTAATTTTCATCATAGGTACATGTCAACTATGACAGACAAAATGAGAAAAAAAAAATCCAGAAAATCACATTGTAGGATTTTTAATGAATTTATTTGCAAATTATGGTGGAAAATAAGTATTTGGTCAATAACAAAAGTTTCTCAATACTTTGTTATATACCCTTTGTTGGCAATGACACAGGTCAAACGTTTTCTGTAAGTCTTCACAAGGTTTTCACACACTGTTGCTGGTATTTTGGCCCATTCCTCCATGCAGATCTCCTCTAGAGCAGTGATGTTTTGGGGCTGTCGCTGGGCAACACAGACTTTCAACTCCCTCCAAAGATTTTCTATGGGGTTGAGATCTGGAGACTGGCTAGGCCACTCCAGGACCATGAAATGCTTCTTACGAAGCCACTCCTTCGTTGTCCGGGCGAACTTTTTTACCAAAAAGTTATATTTTGGTTTCATCTGACCATATGACATTCTCCCAATCCTCTTCTGGATCATCCAAATGCACTCTAGCAAACTTCAGACGGGCCTGGACATGTACTGGCTTAAGCAGGGGGACACGTCTGGCACTGCAGGATTTGAGTCCCTGGCGGCGTAGTGTGTTACTGATGGTAGGCTTTGTTACTTTGGTCCCAGCTCTCTGCAGGTCATTCACTAGGTCCCCCCGTGTGGTTCTGGGATTTTTGCTCACCGTTCTTGTGATCATTTTGACCCCACAGGGTGAGATCTTGCGTGGAGCCCCAGATCGAGGGAGATTATCAGTGGTCTTGTATGTCTTCCATTTCCTGATAATTGCTCCCACAGTTGATTTCTTCAAACCAAGCTGCTTACCTATTGCAGATTCAGTCTTCCCAGCCTGGTGCAGGTCTACAATTTTGTTTCTGGTGTCCTTTGACAGCTCTTTGGTCTTGGCCATAGTGGAGTTTGGAGTGTGACTGTTTGAGGTTGTGGACAGGTGTCTTTTATACTGATAACAAGTTCAAACAGGTGCCATTAATACAGGTAACGAGTGGAGGACAGAGGAGCCTCTTAAAGAAGAAGTTACAGGTCTGTGAGAGCCAGAAATCTTGCTTGTTTGTAGGTGACCAAATACTTATTTTCCACCATAATTTGCAAATAAATTCATTACAAATCCTACAATGTAATTTTCTGGATTTTTTTCTTCTCATTTTGTCTGTCATAGTTGACGTGTACCTATGATGAAAATTACAGGCCTCTCTCATCTTTCTAAGTGGGAGAACTTGCACAATTGGTGGCTGACTAAATACTTTTTTCCCCCACTGTATATAACTGCTCAGTAATGGAAAGTCCCCCTTTTTCCTGCTCAGGTACAATTGATGATTCGAAACAGAGAAGAATCTAACGGCAAACCAGAGAAAAGAGAGTAGGCTAGCAGCCTGTTCTACCATGCACTGCAGAAGACAACCGCATCATTCAATCATGAGTAAATCGTAATTCAATGCTCACAGTGTTGTCTGTATATCTCCGGGGGGACTTCAAATCACCAGCTAGCATAGGCCATTCACAGGAATACACATAGACTATGTTACACTATAAACTGCCTCAGGAATCTATAGATCAAGTCTTAGTAAAATGGCAATTGTGAAGTAAGCTATCTTACAGTCCAAATTACCATTTAGCAAGACCAGACATACAAACAACCTTGTGATACAATTTTGATATCGCAAATGCAGAATAACTTCAATGCAACAGAAATATACAAAACTAATACAGTTGAAGTCTTAAGTTTACATACACCTTAGCCAAATACATTTAAACTCAGTTTTTCACAATTCCTGACATTTAATCCTAGTAACAATTCCCTGTCTTAGGTCAGTTAGGATCACCACTTTATTTTAAGAATGTGAAATGTCAGAATAATAGTAGAGAGAATTATTTATTTCAGCTTTTATTTATTTCATCACATTCCCAGTGGGTCAGAAGTTTACATACACTCAATTAGTATTTGGTAGCATTGCTTTTAAATTGTTTAACTTGGGTCAAACATTTCGGGTAGCCTTCTACAAGCTTCCCACAATAAGTTGGGTGAATTTTGGCGCATTCCTCCTGACAGAGCTGGTGTAACTGAGTCAGGTTTGTAGGCCTCCTTGCTCGCACACGCTTTTTCAGTTCTGCCCACAAATCTTCTATAGGATTGAGGTCAGGGCTTTGTGATGGCCACTCCAATACCTTGACTTTGTTGTCCTTAAGCCATTTTGCCACAACTTTGGAAGTATGCTTGGGATCATTGTCGATTTGGAAGACCCATTTGCGACCAAGCTTTAACTTCCTGACTGATGTTTTGAGATGTTGCTTCATAATTCTCCTTCCTCATGATGCCATCTATTTTGTGAAGTGCACCAGTCCCTCCTGCAGCAAAGCACCCCAACAGCATGATGCTCCCACCCCGTGCTTCACGGTTGGGATGGTGTTCTTCGGCTTGCAAGGTACCCCCTTTTTCCTCCAAACATAATGATGGTCATTATGGCCAAACAGTTCTATTTTTGTTTCATCAGACCAGAGGACATTTCTCCAAAAAGTACGATCTTTGTCCCCATGTGCAGTTGCAAACCGTAGTCTGGCTTTTTTATGGCGGTTTTGGATCAGTCGCTTCTTTCTTGCTGAGCGGCCTTTCAGGTTATGTCGATATAGGACTTGTTTTTACTGTGGATATAGAAACTTTTGTACCCGTTTCCTCCAGCATCTTCACAAGGTCCTTTGCTGTTCTGGGATTGATTTGCACTTTTTGCACCAAAGTACGTTCATCTCTAGGAGACAGAACGCGTCTCCTTCCTGAGCGGTATGACGGCTGCGTGGTCCCATGGTGTTTATACTTGCGTACTATTGTTTGTACAGATGAACGTGGTACCTTCAGGCGTTTGGAAATTGCTCCCAAGGATGAACCAGACTTGTGGAGGTCTACAATTATTTTTCTGAGGTCTTGGCTGATTTCTTTTGATTTTCCCATGATGTCAAGCAAAGAGGCACTGAGTTTGAAGGTAGGCCTTGAAATACATCCACAGGTACACCTCCATTTGACTCAAATGATGGCAATTAGCCTATCAGAAGCTTCTAAAACCATGATATAATTTCCTGGAATTTTCCAAGCTGTTTAAAGGCACAGTCAACTTAGTGTATGTAAACCTCTGACCCACTGGAATTGTGATACAGTGAATTATAAGTTAAATAATCTGTCTAAACAATTGTTGGAAAAATTACTTGTGTCATGCACAAAGTAGATGTCCTAACCGACTTCCCAAAATTATAGTTTGTTAACAAGACATTTGTGGAGTGGTTGAAAAACAAGTTTTAATGACTCCAACCTAAGTATATGTAAACTTCCGACTTCAACTGTATATTCAGTGTCCCAGGCAGACTGTTCAATGCTCAGCCAGTCACCAAATAGGCTATTTAGATTATCCACTATAATGAACATACTGTAGTTTACGCTTACCCTGGTAAATGAAGCAATCTGGGTTTAAAAATGTTCAAGACATTAAGTCAAAGTTTTATAAATTGTAGGCTTGAGCTCATTAAAAGCAGTAACGACATGAATCAAATGAAAATGATTGATTCTCTCTTTTAATATTTTTAGAAGGATTTCTCTCTCTGGCTATCTCTATAATTTATTGCTACCCATACGTAGGACCACCCCTACGTATGGGTGGTCCTCTGTAGCTCAATTGGTAGAGCATGGCGCTTGTAACGCCAGGGTAGTGGGTTCGATCCCCGGGACCACCCATACGTAAAAACATTTATGCACACATGACTGTAAGTCGCTTTGGATAATAACGTCTGCTAAATGGCATATTATTATTATTATCTGGGCATCTTGCCTTTTTCCATCATCCCTTTCTAGCCTATTTAATCTCAGAAAATAACCTTAATGCTTAATATTATAGTTTTTCCCACTTTCTTCCTCCACTTTTTCATTTAAGAAAAACATACTGTACTCTGTGTGTGAAGTAGTGGCCACTACAGGCCCTTATGCTATCTGTCTGCCACAGGTACACATCGACCTTGAAACTCCTGATGTGTTTTGTTTCATTTGAATAAGCCCCCACAGCACCACATTGTACCTCAAATAATGAGACTGTGGGAAACAAAGATTCTTCAGAATTTGAATTAAAAGTAATCCTTCAGAATTTTAATTCTAAGTATTTGAACCATCTTCTATGAGCCCATCACTGATAATTGATAGGACCATGGTAACTAGGCCTGTTAGCCACATTTACATTTACATTTAAGTCATTTAGCAGACGCTCTTATCCAGAGCGACTTACAGTTAGTGAGTGCATACATTTTCATACTGGCCCCCCGTGGGAAACGAACCCACAACCCTGGCGTTGCAAGCACCATGCTCTACCAACTGAGCTACAGGGGACCATAGCAAGGACTGAAGAAAGCGCCATGTTATGTCACCATGGAGACAGACCTGTACCATGTGTAGTTGACGTCGTCATAGATCAAGCGAAGCAAGCAATCTGATCTATGTTTTTAAAGTTTCAAGCGGATTCTCCAATCATTTGAAATCATTGTGTACAGTCTGCAAGTGTCATGGCAGATCGAGAAAACAGACAAACATAATGCTATGGTTATCACGAGTGATCATCCAGTTATGACATACTGTATGCAGTGGTTAAACTTTCAACCAATAACATGATGGTCATACTTTCACATTTTAGAATAGGCCTAGGCAGACTCAGTTGGCACTTGGCAGAACTGTTATAAGTGAGTATACATGAAATTTAGCAACGATGACAACACTTAGGACCAGTTTCCCAATTTGGTGGTCCATTAAGTTTTGGTTTATTCGAAAATACAGTCATTAAAGTTGAGAATCAACTGTCTGTTCCAAGGTTGTATCTTGGGTCACTTTTGTTTGCAATGACTCAGGATTGTCTTGCTTTTACAATAAACACTCAAAACTAACCGAACAGGTTTCACAATCTCATGTTACTTCAATGAAAGACCAGTTGTGGGGAGCATTCATTCTTTATTTGGTTGTGGATGTGTATCACAGATCACTCTGTTTACCGAGGTAAGCCTTTATCTGTGTTTGGTTTCACATTTTCTACACATATGACATGTTTCAGTGTCATTTAAAATACAATCTTAGAAAAACAAAAGGTGCTATCTAGAACCAAAAAGGGTTCTTCGGCTGTCTCCATAGGAGAACCCTTTGAAGAACCCGTTTTGGTTTCAGGTAGAACCATTTTGGGTTCCATGTAGAACCCTTTCCACAGAGGTTCTCTTACGTGGACAGCCGCAGAACCCTTTTGGAACCCTTTTTTCTAAGTGTACCATAATACTGGGATACTCATGAAGGTCAAGAGGTCTATGAGTTGATCTAGATTTTACCTCAGTTTTAACATAATCGTTTTTGCAACTTGCATGACAATGCTTTAGTTTAGTTTAGTAGGGCCTCCACTTGTATTGTAGTTTGCAATGACAGGGCACAGATCAGTTCCCTACCAACACTGTGACTTAAAGGATTATAGGGTTTTGTATGAAAAGTAGTGATTTTGTCTGACTTATAGATTTAGTATTCAGTCTTTTTGAAAGAAGGTTGTAGACTGGTATTAATCATACTGGTCATTTTATTTTTAGTTCTATTTTCTTTATGAGATTCTGCTGTCACACAGATTCCTGTCTCCCTGACAACACCACCTCTCAATCTGACACCATGGAAATTTGATCCACACCTGTATTTACAGTGTACTTACCGGCCACGGTGTCACCTGAATCATCATAACACATTGGGTTATGTCCAGTCTGGTCTTGCACTTATAGAATTTACTTGTTGGTCATTAATAAATTGATAGATTTAAACATTTTTAAGGCACTACCTTGACTATAGTGACTGGTTTAGTTTATAACTGTGTCTACGCACATTATGCATTTATGCTTTACTTTTGATACAGAGAAGAAACATGACACCTGATTTGGACACCAAGGACCGCTGCTTTAAGGCCTTGCTTATCTGGAGCAATTTGGTCATTGCGGTAAGTTCGACTAATATGAAATGGTGAGTGTGACTTTACCTCTGATATTTGTCTCAACAACTGACTAGGTATCCCCTTTACCTCTGTTTTCAGTGCTGTGGGATTGCCTTGATGGCCATGTGTATCTTCTTCATATCGGATCGAGGCGGATTGTATGTTTTGGTGTATGCCACAGGAAATGACAGCATCTGGAGGGGAGCCTGGATAGGCCTTTTCACTGGGTTTGCCCTTTTCTGCACGTCGATCTTTGGAATGCACGCCATAGCTGTGTCCAAAAGAAATATCCTACTAGCTGTGAGTCGTTCTGCTGTACCCCTGTTACATCTCCAACAATAATATTTTAAAAACATTCTATGCATGAATACTTATGTTATTAAAGGCATTCTAATATTATCCCTTTGACTGAAAAACATCATTGGTTTGGCCTGCTGGAACGTTTGGCCAGAAAACTCATGACTCAGACATATTTTTGTTTTAACTGTCTTACCTGTAGTACATCCTCCTGATGGTGATCATATATGCATTTGAGGTGGCATCCGCTATTACTGCTGCAACACACAAAGACTGGGTAAATCATTAAGATAAATACATTGTTAAAATTGTCTTGGCATATTATATTTCAGAGTTTGCTACACTAAATTTTATGATACAAATTGGAATTAGTGCACTGACCAGTGTTTGGCTATCTTCTCAACATTTTGATGCATCTCCTCAGTTTGTCCCCAACCTCTTCCTGAAGCAAATGCTACAGAACTACAACAAACCACTACCATATAATCTGCCCAGCACCCTGGACCAGATCTATGTCATCAACGGGATAACAGAAACATGGAACCGGTTCATGACTGAGGTAGCTAGGCCTACCCCACTGGTCACAGACGTCAGTTCACCGTTTAGTTTTGATTTACATTTGGTTGAGTTGTCAACTAACGTGAACTCAATGTGAAATCAACAACAAATGTCACCATGTCATTGGATTTAGGTTGAAAGATGGGTGAGAAAAATATTAAATGCCCTTACGTTTATGACTTTTTGCAAATCCAATTAGTTTTCAATGTTGATTCAACGTCACAATTATGTGGAAACTACGTTGATTCAAGCAGTTTTTGCCCAGTGGGACTGACTACTTTATGATGATGATTTATTATTTACTTACTGTTCTATAGTACCACAGTTTGGTAATGTAAAATCATTTATGGTCTTAAACTCTCCCTATTAACTGAAGCATTTTAGTAACCAGAGTGCTCCTCTTGCAGTCTAAGTGCTGTGGAGTGTACGGGCCAAAGGACTGGGTGAAGTATGAGTCCTACTTCAGGCAACAGAACACTGATGCTGATTATCCTTGGCCCAGACAATGCTGTCAGCAGGACGCCATGGGAGCAATCAGCCATTTAGAGGCCTGCAAAATCGGGGTCAGCCCTTTCCTGCATGCACAGGTAATTGTCAAAGCTGACTTTGTCAATGACCACACTGAAATGTTCACCATCTCCTCATTATTGAGTGCACCACAAACCCCAAAAGTCTAAGGGAGTGCAGCAAAAATGGTTTGGGGGGGGGGGGGGGGGGGGGGGGGGGGGGGGCAAAGGAGGAATATGTTGCGTACGAAGCGCATCTGCTTTTCAATAACCTTTTTGTCACTCTACTCCAAGAGAACCTTCAAAATAATTATACGATTTATTGTGAATAGTTCTTCCATGAATCCCAACAGACAATGAAGAACCATTTAAGAACCTTTTTTTAAAAATAAAGTGTGGTAAAATTATGGAGGTGCCTAGCAGGGTTATGCTGCATGAAACTGTACAGTGCTCTAATATAAAATCTAATATTTCTTTTAGGGTTGTTATGATTACATTGCTGGTCCTTTAATCAGACACTGTTTTGGAGTCTCATGGTTTGGATTTGCCATATTGTGTTGGACAGTGAGTACAGAATGCATATCATCAACTTCCATAAGCATGAAATGTTTTTTTGCATGCACTAGTATAGTATTCAAACAAATTTGCACTGCAGAAACAAATGTAGTTGCTCTAGCATTAAGACAATGCATGCATTACTCAAAATAAGTTTGGTTTCATCATGTAGGCCTAAATATTGTAAGATGGCATTACTTAAAATACCCCTTAAAGGGCCAATCAGCAGTAGAAACAATAACAAAGCAAACTCCCCACCACTGTTTCGATAAAAAAGTGAAGGATAGGGCTGGAGAAATATAATCACTCTCAAATTCAGAAACAGAGCTATGGATGCAAGACCTGACCATCCATGACATAAAAATGATAGTTTTAACCATGTTTCGAGGCTATACAGTGTTTGTTTACATTTACTTGGTTTACAAACACTGGAGTTAAACAAGCTTCTATTTTGGGTTCTGATAGAGTACAACAGTTAGACTAAGTTCATGAGGCACTTATAAGTTCAATTCTTCAAGAACAAATGGGTACATATAGTGAATTTATAATCTTTAAAAAATCAATGTAGCAACTGCTGATTGTCCCTTTAAATGTGGTGGGAAAAAAATGAAAATAGCATAATGGAGAATTGGATCAACGGTTTTCTTTGTTTTTCCCTGCAGTTCTTTGTGATGGTGGGAGTAATTTTCCACTACACTCAGTTGGATTTCTGAGGATGACCAACAAAGAAATCTTCAAATAAACTTCAGGACAGAACTACCAGTAAAGAAGTAATACAAATATTACACTTTTTTGTTATGATCAACAAAAAACATTTTAATGTCTCTTATCAAAATTGAGAAGCAATAAATGTACTAAATATTATTGTTTTCAAATGAGCTTTCTCAAAAAAGGGTGTATATTGTACCATATAATACGCTGTACTCTTAATTTTCTGTTCCCCCCCCCAAAAAAGAGGTTGCGACCCCGACTTGAATACCATCGGTGTTAGTATGTTTCACACCAATTATGCAATCAGTGGATGGTTGCTTTGTGAATTACAAGCATCCCTCATTATGTTATGTAATTATTATACAACTATGAATAACAGTTATGCAATTATACTGACATGTATGGACCCCTGCACAAGATGAGGGAAACGTACAGTAAATCAGAGATTTAGCCTGGTCCTGAACATCTGTAACCGACTCTCAGAGGAGACAGTGACTGATTTGAAGTATCTGTGATTTTTCATTCAAGCCCAAACACTGCATGATTCTCCTTGTTTCACCTTCTGTTGATGTTTTTCAAATATATTGCCAAAATAAATCATTATGACAAATCATTCTATGAACAAATTCTCAGAGAATCCGTTATATGTGTATTTATAATTTGCATAACTTGCCGTGGCTATACATAATACATCCAATTTTGGTCAATACAAAATTGTACAGGTTACAAGCGTAGTATTATGTCAACACAGCTGCAAACAACCAGAATCCCTGTTCTGATATCTTTTAAAATCTTCACAACATTTAAAGCATAGTGTTTGAGTCCTCTTTTTTTACAATCTACACCATTATAAGTGCCATTTCCCTCACTTCCTTTTGATTTTAACTCAAACATTTCTCAGCAAAGCCTAGTTTTTAAGATAAAGTAATCACATCAGACACTTTACTTGAGGTATTTCTGTCATCTGTCCTCCTCATTCTAAAAGCATATCGGACTTTACAGACCAATAAAGAGAACACACACTCTGTCCCTCTTAACAGTAACAACAACAAAAAACAACTAAGACTTGGTGAAGTGTGTTAATGACTATCTATAGATTACTAATTGGATAAATAAATACTATTAGTGTCTATAATACAATTACAACTAAAATAGCAGTTTTCTGCAGTTCTCATTACGTAGAATGTTGGAAAAACACTATCCTGATACTGTCAGGATAAAAGCTGATCACAGTGACAATAGCTGGACGTCAGCGGGTTCATACTGTATGAAGTCATTATTCAGTTCACAAACATATTTAAGACATAAGGTATAACTAAAAACAAAGTAGCTAGCTAGTACTGAAGGTACAACTCTCTTTGGAAAAAGGCAATCTTGTGATTGCCAATGATGAGATGCAAACAAATAAACTACCGGTACATGGCTTTTCTGAAATACCAATGGCAATATGTGTTGATGTAACATTTTCCTCTCTTTGGCTGTCTATCCTTTATATGCACATTACAAAATATGTCTAACATCTGAATTTAAAAAACATCATTTGAATATTGATAATTAGTGCATATGATTTGGGCTAAAGGAAATACACACATCTTCACATGCCACTAGTCTAGATTGCTTATTTTAGTGCAGGACAGAGAGGTGATTGGTGGAGCATTGGAAACAAAGAAACTGTTAATTTCCCAAAATAGTTTCATATCAAAGGTAGATTTATAGACCCAATATTGCTCAAATCATTTACATAAGTCCAAGAACAGGGAGGATGAAGAGGAGGATAACCAGAGTAGTGTTAGGAAACAACATGACTGGTTAAACTGTCCAGTGTCTCATTCAATCTGCCTGTGGCTTCTGCTGTCAAATATCATGGACCTCCTCTGTGGCTGATAAAAGCAGCTGGTCGAGGTCTCCAGTCTCTGTCCACTCTTGGGTATTGTCATTTTGTTCCGCAGGGTCACCCCCTCTGGGGTCCCGAGGTTATCTGCCATCTCTTTGGAAAAGATATCCAGTGCTGATGTTTCAGTTGGACTTCTGATGGGCGAGAGGATGAGCTTGGCATCATCCCCCAGCGGTGGGTGATCCATGATGGGAAAGGGTGGACTGAACAAGATGAGGCTTTGTGGTCTCTTGCGGTTCCTAAAGGACGGCCTTTGTAGAACCGTAGACCGTTCAGGTCTTGGACAATCAGCAAAGGCCTCTGCATTGGAGGAGCGTTTCCTCCTCAGCACCGGTGGGTCTGAAGTAGGTGTGGTTTTATTAGTCTCTGTAGGTTTCTCTGCAATAGCCTGCCTTATCTGGGATTTGGGTGCTGGTTCCTTATTCTCCAACTCCTCCTTTAGATCCCTGATAGAGGGAAGAAGAAGAGCTACAGGATCTAGTTTCTCTCCCCTGGTTTTTGTGAATTCTTTCTCTGGTCCCTTTCCTGCACCAGAGCCCTTGTCTTGCCTCGGATGAGGTATGTGGCTGTACTGCACCTTGGGGGGGATGACAGGCACGGCTTTGGCCTGGCACGTTTTTACCATGAAGGCCGTCCTGACAGACGACACACTGACAGGGGCCGAGTTTCGGCGCACAGGGGCCTGTCGATGGCTCAGGAACAGCTCCAGTTCCTGGGACAGGCCATTGGATTTGGTCCCAGACGGGGTCACTGCCCCTCTCTGAATGGAGGTGAACTCGGCTGATTCAAGGTTTTGCTGATTGGAAATGTCTCTGATGCGTCGATGTCCTAAATCCAAATTGAGTGAGTAGGGCCTGTGTTTGGAAAAGCTGTTCTGCTCAGTTTTTTCTGAATGAGATGCTTCATAAGACGTCTGTCTGTGAAACCTCTGGGAGGAGGTGGTGTTTTTCTGTTTGGCTGTGCAGCTGTTTCCTCTTTGTGTTCTCGTTGCATCATCACCGACCAATGTGGTTTTGGAGGATAAGTGAAGTAGATGTGTGATTTTGGTCTCTGTTTTGCTGCTGCATGCCTGAGAGCTATTTCCTGGGAACACTTCTATGCTCCTAACAGGACATGATCCATTTGTTGGTTTGTCGTCTCTAGATAGAGGAGGAACGTTTAGTTCTTTGGAGTTCAAACCTTCTCCCGCAGAACAAGACGATGACACATCTAGTTTTCCAAACAAATCCTTAAGTGTGGGTGAATGGAGAGGACTGGTTACCCACTGTTTGGTGGCGCGGAAGACCTCCTCCCAAGGTTCCTCCTCCAAGTCCTCCAACTCAGAGTGTCCTCCACATCCATCCTCATTGTCTTGGTGTGGTAGCCCCAAGGTGTGGTGTGGTCTTTCTTCCAAACATATTGAAAGCCTCTCAATGCCTCCCATGACAACTGACAAAGCATTCTTTCCATCGTCATGGAAAACCCCTTTGACCCAATCTTGACTTTTACTTTTCCCTGATGGCTCCTTTCCTTTCTCTGCTACAAACGTGCCCATGTCTGTTATGAAATCCCCTGGCTGCAAACGTTTTGTGACCTGGCTTTGTTGAGTAGAATGTAAACTTGGCTCTGCGAGGTGACGAACCGCAGGCCGTGGCTTGACGAAAGTCCGTTTATCGGTTTCTGGGAGCTTAGATTTTGAGAAAGTGTGTAGTTTGTTTTTTGTTTTATCTGTTGAATCAGCAGCATGTAGAGGTGTATTTGTCATATCTGTGCCAACCATTAAATGTAACGTTTTCTCATTTGGAAATTGTGTGTCTGAGGAGTGCTTTCTTGCTGAATGTGCTACAGTGGCAGCATCGTGATCGGTCAGTGCAGGCCTGGCGGGCATCAAAGGCTGTCCCTTATATAATAACGAGTGAGTTGGAAGGCTGCTTCTTCTTTTTGCTGGAGCATCTGGCATTGCCTTAACATCCTCACAAGTGTTCTTGGTGGAACAGAAAACAGGCATAAACTCCTCGTCAATAATGTCAATCTCAGGCTCAGTGATTTTCAGCTCAAGATGGAGGTCAGACCACATCTCTTCCTTGATAGGTAGAGATCCCATATCCTGCAAAACATGAACCACAAATGCTTATTAAAGCGTCAGTCATTGTCATTGCGTTATTCTTTGTTAATTGTCTGTGATGAAGCACAGCGTTAAACTGGAGATTAAACATACCAGGTGTGTCAGTTCTTTTGGCTCATGCTGTGGTGCTGGCGGGTTGTCCAGTTGTTTCCCAGGAGATTGCTGTTTCTCTTGATCTTCCTCTCTTGTGGTGGGAGTGGAAGACTGTCTCAGGTCAGATACTTCCACCTTTCCTTGAACATCATTCAACTCTCCTTCACTTCCTGAAACTCATATTAATAGACAATATTACCTTGGATAATGAGGAAGGTTTTTCATCTGAGTGAGTGCATGCATATGCGCGGAGGGGGGGCAAGCATGTGCACACACAGGCTTGTTTTCTATGTTAACAGGTGAAAATGTCCTACCTTCTGGCACCCTTTTGAAAGCTGCCTCCTCTCTGCTCCTCTCCTCTGCTGGTCTCTCTTCCGTTTCCAGAGGGGTTGAGCTGCTGTTGCTGTAGATACTGCTCTCACTCCCAACACTGCTCTCTCCAAGGGGGTTCTCTCTGTAACTTGAGCTGCCACTACTGTCACTCTGTTCTGACTGGGAGGTCTCTCTGCTGGGTTTCAGAGCAGCTGCAGCAGGCCTCTCCTTCCCTTGTGCCCTGCAGGGAGTGCTGTTGGAGCTGATGACTGCAGACACCCTCAGGGGCACGGAAACAGCAAAGGGCTCTGATATGTTGAGAGCCTTGCGCTGATGTCTGGGGGAGGACTCTGGGAAGAGGCTTCCTGGGAAGGAGGGCCTGGATGCACTGCTGTGGGTGGAGCCAGAACACAGCATCCTGTTCTTAGGGGAGCTGGGCTGACAGCTGCTGAGGTCATCATCGCCTTTGAAAACCTTCAGTTGTTCGGGTAGAGCCTTCTGCTGTGGTGGTGAGACGCTTGGAGAGCCCCTTCTCTTCATGTTAGGGCTGCTGCCACCTGTGGCCTTGCTCGATCTCTTCATCTCAAACTCCCGCCTCTGGTCCTGTTCACTGACGTCATGGAGCGTGTCAGATTCAAGTGTTCTGGATTTTATGCCGGGCGCAAAGAAACCGTTGGCTCCGCCTGCTGAACTGAAATGTCCTGCCTTGTCATCATCTGTGTTGGAAATCAAATGAGAAGCAAATTGTTTGATACATATCGTCTCTGCCTTATTTACAAAGCAAATTAAGATTTGTTTATGGGAGAGAGAACTGCTGTGAGTAGGTTTAACGATGACAAGTTTTTCGTATGCAATTTAGTGCATTCAGCACCACCTGTCTGTAGAGAGCACAAAGAGTCCATGCTTCTCGCTGGTCGGATAGCTGCCTTTTCTGTGAATGAAGAATGTAGTCATGTTATTTTATTCTGTATCATGATCTCAATTATTTCAAGTAGCATGTTTATTTGTGTGATATTAATTTTCATTTGATCATTCAATATATCAAGGTGGCAATAGAATGTGTACTATGTTACTATGTTTTCCATGATAAATCATTTAGCCTTAGCAGTGAAAGGATCACTATATTGGTTGATAAGCATATCCATCATGCTTTACCTGTGATGTTCTGTGCTTTCATTAACACGCTCCCATTCCGGCTCAGTCTCCCCTTAGAGTCCGTCACAGACTTGCCCAGGTTGAAGATGAACTTCCACTTCTTTGATTTCCCAGAAACCTTTCCTCTGACAGACAGGGAGATGATGAAGCACATTAACAACATGGCTTGTTCGGATGTTATTTGTTGAAGTTCAATGTGTGCTAAATGTACAACAAAACAACACAAATAAACATACATATTGCTAAAACAGTACAATCAACCTAGACTGATTTGCAGGGTATTTTACTGTTTACTCTGTATACCAGTGGAGGCTGTTGAGGGGAGGAAGGCTCATAATAATGGCTGGAATGGAGTGAATGGAATGGCATTAAACACATGGAAACCATGGAAACCATGTGTCTGATACCGTTCCAATGATTCCGCTCTAGCCATTCTCATCCATCTCACTTTGTATCTGATATGTCTATGACGGTATGGTACAGTGTGGCAGTGCTGGTATCAGGTAGACTGTTCTCCCGTTGTCGCTCTTTCCGTGCTGGGTGGTTAGGGCTCAGGGAGCGAGCCTGGGCCTCCTCCAGGCTCATCAGCTTCATTGGCCCACTCTGGCCACTGATAGGAAGAGTGGCATACTTCTCCCCACACATCAAACTGGGTCCTGTAGCAATACAATATGTCGTTTTTTAAATACTATTGGCATCAGGTAGAAAGGAGGACAATAAATACAATGCGTTTTCCAATGGCAACATAAAATTAGGGTAAGAGGGCAACAAGCAAGAGGGCAACATTCAGGAAATCTCAATGCACACAATCAACACTTTCAAACAACATACCTTCTTTCGTCTTTATTGGTGCAGCTGCATGGTTGAAGATCTGCTCAGTGTGATTTAAAATGAACTCAACCACGGACTGCTGTACCCGCACCTCCTGGAAAGCCATGTCCCCATTGCAGGATGCAACTTCAATATCTTTAGAGCTACAAAACGCATAGCCAAGCGAGAAACGCATAGCCAAGCGAGAAACGCATAGCCAAGCGAGAAACGCATAGCCAAGCGAGAAAGTAGAAATGCTTTCAGTCACAACCAAGGAGGGATTTTACATTAAATATCAGCTAGAGTATAACTCAAACAAAATGGAAGAACAAAATATAGTTATCATACAACTGTTTTAGTATGTTCTTGGATAAGGTGATATTGGTTTGTGTACAATTGGTGTAGAGCTCACCGCAATAGGTTTGGAGCCCACACCAAGGCCAGGTTGCGGGTGTGCATGTTAGTCTGGGGACTTAAAGTGGCCAGGTGGGACAAATGCTTGGTAAGATATTCCAGAGTCCTGGAGAGAGAGAACAAACAGAATTTGTTTAGCTTTTTAACCACATATAAACGATTGAGTGGTACATCACAGAGGCAGCAAAGGGCTGAAGTGAGTTTTACCTAAAGTGGGGGAGTGGTAGCTCTTTGATAACACCCTGGATATGTTGTAGTCTCTCATGATCCTCCTGGACTGAGACGGCGTCCTACACAGTAAAAGTGAAGTATTATCAATGTCGCACATCATTCTTTCTTTGAATGTGCCTCACTATTAAAGGACTCATTCCTAATATAAATCAAGAGACATTCTGGTAAACAAAGTGGGTGCATTACAGACAGGTAGAGACCCTACCTCTTTGAACAGTACTCACAGTGAATTTCTTGTAAAGCTCATAAGTGAGCAGGGGATTGGGTAGCTCCCTGAAGTACAGCTTGCACAAGGAGCCCACACAGTGGATGTCCTGGAGGTACACCTCCTTTGTGAGGTCAGGGCACAAGTCAGAGCAAAATTCCTGTCTGTAAGTAAGCACACAAACACATGGGTGTCAATACAGCTGGAGACGTATGACGCTTCCACACTCCTCTAGTATATGTACAGTGAGGGAAAAAAGTATTTGATCCCCTGCTGATTTTGTACGTTTGCCCACTGACAAAGACATGATCAGTCTATAATTTTAATGGTAGGTTTATTTGAACAGTGAGAGACAGAATAACAAGAAAAACACATGTCAAACGCATGTCAAAAATGTTGTAAATTGTTTTGCATTTTAATGAGGGAAATAAGTATTTGACCCCTCTGCAAAACATGACTTAGCACTTGGTGGCAAAACCCTTGTTGGCAATCACAGAGGTCAGATGTTTCTTATAGTTGGCCACCAGGTTTGCACACATCTCAGGAGGGATTTTGTTCCACTCCTCTTTGCAGTCATTAAGGTTTCGAGGCTGACGTTTGGCAACTCGAACCTTCAGCTCCCTCCACATATTTTCTATGGGATTAAGGTCTGGAGACTGGCTAGGCCACTCCAGGACCTTAATGTGCTTCTTCTTGAGCCACTCCTTTGTTTCCTTGGCCGTGTGTTTTGGGTCATTGTCATGCTGGAATACCCATCCACGACCCATTTTCAATGCCCTGGCTGAGGGAAGGAGGTTCTCACCCAAGATTTGACGGTACATGGCCCCGTCCATCGTCCCTTTGATGCGGTGAAGTTGTCCTGTCCCCTTAGCAGAAAAACACCCCCAAAGCATAATGTTTCCACCTCCATGTTTGACAGTGGGGATGGTGTTCTTGGGGTCATAGGCAGCATTCCTCCTCCTCCAAACACGGCGAGTTGAGTTGATGCCAAAGAGCTCGATTTTGGTCTCATCTGACCACAACACTTTCACCCAGTTCTCCTCTGAATCATTCAGATGTTCATTGGCAAACTTCAGACGGCCCTGTATATGTGCTTTCTTGAGCAGGGGGACCTTGCGGGCGCTGCAGGATTTCAGTCCTTCACGGCGTAGTGTGTTACCAATTGTTTTCTTGGTGACTATGGTCCCAGCTGCCTTGAGATCATTGACAAGATCCTCCCGTGTAGTTCTGGGCTGATTCCTCACCGTTCTCATGATCATTGCAACTCCACGAGGTGAGATCTTGCATGGAGCCCCGGGCCGAGGGAGATTGACAGTTCTTTTGCGTTTCTTCCATTTGCGAATAATCACACCAACTGTTGTCAACCTTCTCACCAAGCTGCTTGCCGATGGTCTTGTAGCCCATTCCAGCCTTGTGTAGGTCTACAATCTTGTCCCTGACATCCTTGGAGAGCTCTTTGGTCTTGGCCATGGTGGAGAGTTTGGAATCTGATTGATTGATTGCTTCTGTGGAAAGGTGTCTTTTATACAGGTAACAAGCTGAGATTAGGAGCACTCCCTTTAAGAGTGTGCTCCTAATCTCAGCTCGTTACCTGTATAAAAGACACCTGGGAGCTAGAAATCTTTCTGATTGAGAGGGGGTCAAATACTTATTTCCCTCTTTAAAATGCAAATCAATTTATAACATTTTTGACATGCATTTTTCTGGATTATTTTGTTGTTATTCTGTCTCTCACTGTTCAAATAAACCTACCATTAAAATTATAGACTGATCATTTCTTTGTCAGTGGGCAAACGTACAAAATCAGCAGGGGATCAAATACTTTTTCCCCTCACTGTATGCTTTGTAAGATTGAAATGTAGAAACGTGTGTTTATATTGAATAAACAAAAGTTGTCCAACATGGTATGTTCATAATGGCCTAGATCTAGAAACGTACTGTACAAACATGCTTAGTATAGAGCACCAAACACCAACTTTCACTACCTTGTCCTAATCCTTTTGGAAGGCACTTTATGTGGCAAAAAGAGTTACCTTAGTCGCTGGATATTTGAGGTGACTCCTGAGAGCCTGTATATTCCATCCACAACACCATGTTTCTCAATGAACTCTGCACACGTCCTTAAAACTTGAGGAACTGAAGAAAAAAAAAAGAAAAAATGTTTTAACCATACATTCGACATCAAAAGACACACATACATAGCAAACCAAATAAAACATATTTTGAGGGTCCAGTCTGGCAACATACAGATTTTGACGTGAAGGTCAAAATATAACACTGATGACAGTCGTCATTAGGATTTCGTTACTAAGTTATGTGAATAAGCTATGATTTATGAGAGGAATCATAACATACAGTCTTTAGGTTTTCTGTAATAGGAAACTGATTTTCACAATTTCACAGTATTATTCGTAGTGTGGAAATACAAATAAACCACAGGAAAATCATGTTTTTGACCGCACTGGGCCTTTAATACTGTGTGTACTATAAATAGAATCTGGATCTTTGGCTCATTCTTTGAGTCAACCATTTTTTTCCATGGCAGAGAAGGATAGAGAAGGACAGTTTGGGAGAAACCGATTGCCATTAGTATAAATTGTATCAGTACTTATTTATTCTAAACATACTTTACACAGTAGCTCTGCTTTTTATTCCATAGGGTTGCTGATTGTGAAGAAGGTGGAATTTCTCAGGAAGTAAAACATGGTTTGTTTGTTTCAGAGGAAGGTGGACACACCCAATCCTTGCAGCTGGTATTACTTACGATACTTCCTCTAATAGAAAATGTCCTTTCAAAATGTTACCACCCAATTCTCTATTGATTTTGAAACGGTATTCCCTAGTGGGGCATCTCTTTTCTTAAAATCTGTTATCTACAATGCTGTGTTTAAGAGGAATGTATGGTTGCTTTCTATACTAATATATACTTGTAAATCAAGGAACAACTTTATAATACATTTCAACTGAAAATAAAAAATGTATAGCTCCTCTTATGCACAGTATGGCATATACTACAGCAGTTAATATGTTAGTATACCTCTGTGCCATGCTAAAAGAAAAAGGAAAGTTATTCCACTATGGACTGAAATCGGCAAACCAATATATGCAACAACCTTAGAAGAGAAATGTAGCTGTACAGTGCACAATGTTCCTGTAAGCTCCTCTTTCCCACAAGTAAAGTATTTGTGACTCATAGTTCAACTTCCCACTTTTCTACCAGGCATTCCCACTTCACAGATACACTAGATGAGGCCCTTCCCAGAACTCTTTACAAAGGGATAAGGAACCATCTGGCCAGTGGCGTGGCCCAGTGACAGTGGATTGTTTAACATTTTAGCCACACAATGGCAATCGTGGAGGTCTTGTCCCCAGAGAATGCAGAGCTATTGTATAAGCTATACAACAGCTTATAGTGGAACAGTGGCATAGATCAATGTCAGTTTACACATCGTTTCCCTCATTTTCAAACTCTTAACATATCTCATGAACATCACAACTCAACCTGAACAATAAATCAATAAGCACATAGACATGAGGATATCGCTGATATGCAGCTGAACATTAGCCAAGCAACACGAAAACAATTCAAACAATTCATTCTATCTTGAGGTTCTCATGGGCTGTATGAATGAAAGTCTGTTCTCCCACATCTGAACAGACACTCGCAGTGACATGCCTGTGGTCAAAATGGTGGCTGCCTGGTCCGAATGGGATTTGAGTCACCATTACTTTTGAGTATTTGCTCAGAACGAAACTCCTGCTTGCCTGGAAATCTTCTTGTGGATTCAAAAGGAATCTAATACGGCTTATTGAATAAGATACTGTTGACTGTTAAATTGGATAACATCCTCGTAAGTAAATTGTCTGTGTAAATTAAGTAATTATACACATCCTTTGTCTTCCCTGTCTAGGGTCAGACAGAGTTAGTGACAGTCAACAACAGCTGATATTGCAGTGTCACGTCAACAAAAGCAGATATCATAAGTCACTTGTAATTTACAAATAAAAACTAAAAGTATCATCATATTAGCCATATAGTCAATTATAGTCCCTTCTCCCCCTGTAGCAGAAACATGTGTCTTGTGTAAACTACTTTATAAAATCTGTTTAGCTGTTAAATCTGTTCAAAGTAAAGGTTTCCAAGTCACATCACATTACCTCACTTCATATAACTATTTTTTACCTCCATTCAAATACTATCTGGGTAAACACACCCATCCTCAAATTGTTGTCTGAATTATGATCTGTTGGCTGCTACTGTCCCCTGTGAACAGTGTTGCCCACCCAGAATCCTCACAGAGAGAGAGAGAGAGAGAGAGAGAGAGGAGAGAGAGAGAGAGAGAGATGAGAGAGAGAGAGAGAGAGAGAGAGAGAGAGAGAGAGAGAGAGAGAGAGAGAGAGAGAGAGAGAGAGAGAGAGAGAAGACGCAGGCCTCTTGGTGGGAAGTTGACAAGAACACCAGGAGCCACACCCTAAGTCACAAATCCCCTCTGTGGGTGCCTAAAGGACTTAATGAAATGTAAAACATATGTCCATTGATGTCCAAATTGCAACATATATCTGTGTCACACACCTTAATAAACTAAATAATGTACTGTCCAACTGTTAACTATGTAAACAGCAGGGATCTTTCCTAACTGATTTCACACTACGTTTACCAAATCATCCAAAGCAGAGGTTTAACATATTCTTTGCCCAAAACATAAGTGTTGAATAAGGCTCAATCTAATTCTGAATTCTCCTAAAACCTTTGAGGTGTTCCATACAGAAGATGTATAGATAATTCAACTGCACCATTACATATCCTGTCTCAAACAGTCATTGAGAATTCGCTGTCAATTTAGGAAAAGCTGTTCTCAGACCAAAGTACAAATATTGTAATAGCTCAATGAAAAATAAAAAAATAGACTAAGTTGTTAAATTATTAAACGTTTTGTCTGAGAACAGCTTTTCCCAATGTAGGTGGTTTGGAAAAGTGTTTTCTAAAGGATAGTCCTGTATTATTATTTTATCATAATCATAACTATTATTTGTTGTTTATTTAGGTTATTACTACATCTAAAAACATGAAATATGACAATGCCCTCAATAAATCCAGTACATGTTAAATAATGACTATATATGGGCCAATAATTGGGCTCTGTTGCTGTGTAACAGTTTTTTTATGGGACATGATGAAATCTGCTGAAATGTGCTAGAAAAGGGAAGCAGCAGGAAAGGGAAGCAACATAATAAATATTGAAAGAAACTAGTTTACCGTCTTGTCCTGAATTCTGTAGATGTTCTGTCAAGTCACAGCCGAATGCATTCTCACTTCCTTTCTTTTTGGACCTCTGCTTGGCTCCTTTATTCTTCATCTGGATCCAGTTAGTAGTCCAGGAGTTCAGAACAAACAAATCCTCAAATACACAACCATGATCCAACAGACCCTGGGAAAGGGCTAAAATGTAGCCCAGGAGTAAAAACCATACAAAGCCGCCCAAAAAGGATTCATCCGCTCACATCTTGACCAACCACACTGTTTGGGAGACTGAAAAGTCCTTGTGAGAATAATAAAGTTGACGTCACTTTTCCTTTTAGCTTTTTAGTGCTTTATACATTTCCAATCAATCTATCAAAAATAAGGGAAAAACCATTGGTCAGTTATAATAGTGAAATAGCTGGAAATGTGGATTGGGAATGGCAGTCCTCTGAAGTGATTTATCCCAGAAGGATTTGCAGAAACAGCATCAGAATTAGTTGGTTTCCTGTTGTAGTTTTTTTACTCAGTCTGCCTTTGTCTTTTTTCGCTTCCTCCCGTCCAGACAATCTCCCTGTTCTTTGGCTCCCCTGTATCTGAGGAGATGTACCCAGTGAGGAGCAGGAATATAGTTTCTGTGTTTGTTTCTTTATTCTTCTTGCTTCCAGTTTTCAATTGATCCATGTTTCGAAGGTCATGCTAGTTGTGGCACTGGAGTGGCATGGAGGTTTGAAATGTCAAGACTGTGAGAAGGGGAGGGAAGTGAAGTCAGGGGAGGGGAATAGCTGACTGCTGTTTCTCCTCTGGTTTAGAGATTACTGACCCCTTTTATCCACACTTTTTTTGTTGTTGCCATGGTCCTAACAGGAAATGTGCTCTCTGCCTTCCTGAATGCTCCCAAAGTACACAATTTCCTGTACAGAGAGCCTTGTTTGGAAAACAAAAACAGTTCTGAAGGAAGAGGGAAGTGGGGGGAGAGTGAAATGAGGGCTTGAAGGGCGCAGATGGGAAAAAAAGGGGGCGGGGGGGAGACATACAGGGTACTTGTTACTGACTTAGCTGTTTCATCATTTTCCCTCTACAGCAGACTGAAGCTCCAACCACGTGTTTGAAGGACAATTCATCCTATCGAAATAAATGTTTAACTGATAAGAATGAACCAATACTTTAAAAACAACATTAATACAATTAAGTAGGCCTAAATACATAGCTACTGGGTAGGTTGAAAGACATTCAGGGTTTTTCATTACATTTTAAAGCATATAGCTGGATCTATACAACTGATGGTGTAGGATGTGGACTACTCTTAACATTAGACCACTTTTGAGGTCTGAAAAAATACATTTTTAGTGAATGAACTATAACTTGAATGAACTGCTACAGGTCTACATTTGTTTGATTTAAAATTGTTTCTTGGCAATTTGTAGATCTGTTCAAAGTCTTGTTGCCCTCCCTGTTCAAACAAGAAATCAGTGCACTACCAAATTAATTCATTTTACATTACATTTTAGTCATTTAGCAGACACTCCTATCCAGAGCAACTTACAGGAGCAATTAGGGTTAAGTGCCTTGCTCAAGGGCACAGACAGATTTTTCACTTAGTCGGCTCTGGGATTCAAACCAGCAACCTATCAGTTACGGGCAGAACACTCTTAACCGCTAGGCTACCTGCCATCCTATTGACATACCCTTGCTGTTTCTTACGTAGTGTCAGAGCCACACTGTATATAGAGAGTTCGGCCATGTTAGCACCTTTATTCTAAAACTGTTGGTGTAACAATACGAGATCGCCCCCATCAATAGCCTATGACCTGACCCACTGTAAATAAGCAAAACAGAGCAGCGAATTTAACAGACGTTTTTTATTGATTAACAATCGGCATGTGTATCCAAGCCTGTATTGTGTTGTGTTAACAAATTGCATATTTGCTTTCACATCTTCATAGGTTTTGAAAACTATCAGAAATAAACAGCACAATGCTGTCAATTATCACTTAGCAACGGCTATGGAGTAAAAAGTGACACTCATAGGAATGTTCACTCATAAATCGCAACAAGTCATATATCTCACACTAGATATACAAAAGTATGTGGACACCCCTTTAAATTAGTGGATTCTGCCATTTCAGCCACACCCGCTGCTGACAGGTATATAAAATTGCGCACACAGCCATGCAATCTCCATAGACAAACATTGGCAGTAGAATGGCCTTACTGAAGAGCTCAGTGACTTTCACCGTGGCACCATCATAGGATGCCACCTTTACAACAAGTCAGTTTGTCAAATTTCTGCCCTGGTCAACTGTAAGTGCTGTTATTGTGAAGTGGAAATGTCTAGGAGCAACAACAGCTCAGCCACGAAGTGGTAGGCCACAAAAGATCAAAGAACGGGCCGCCGAGTGCTGAAGCGCGTGCGCATAAGTCTGTACTCGGTTGCAACACTCATTACCGAGTTCCAAACTGCCTCTGGAAGCAACGTCAGCACAAGAACTGTTCGTCAGGAGCTTCATGAAATTGGTTTCCATGGCCGAGCAGCCGCACACAAGCCTAAGATTACCATGTGTAAAGCCAAGCGTCGGCTGAAGTGGTGTAAAGCTCACCCGCATTGGACTCTGGAGCAGTGGAAACGCGTTTTCTGGAGTGATGAATCTCATGTCACCATCTGGCAGTCCGACAGACGAATCTGGGTTTGCCGGATGCCAGGAGAACGCTACCTGCCCCAATGCATAGTGCCAACTGTAAAGTTTGGTGGAGGAGGAATAATGGTCTGGGGCTGTTTTTCATGGTTCGTGCTAGGCCGCTTAGTTCCAGTGAAGGGAAATCTTAACGCTACAGTATACAATGACATTCTAGACGATTCTGTGGAAGCTGTTATAGCAGCAAAGGGGGGGGGGGGGGGGGGGGGGTACACACACAGCCTACACACACACTACATGCCCATGATTTTGGAATGAGATGTTCGACAAGCAGGTGTCCACATACTTTTGGTCATGTAGTGTGTGTGTGTAGGCTTTTTTTTCTGGGAAGGCTTTCCACTAAATGTTGCAACATTGCTGCGGGGACTTGCTTCCATTCAGCTACACAGTGCATTGGGAAAGTATTCAGACCCTTTGACTTTTTTTGCATTGTTACATTTCTGCCTTACTCTAAAATGGATTACATTTTTTTTTTAATCCTCAATCTACACACAATACCCCATAATGACAAAATGAAAACAGGTTATTAGACATTTTTGCAAATGTATTGCTAATAAAAAACAGAAATACCTTATTTACATAACTATTCAGACCCTTTGCTGTGAGACCCGAAATTGAGCTCAGGTGCATCCTGTTTCCATTGATCATCCTAGAGATGTTTCTACAAGTTGATTGGAGTCCACCTGTGGTAAATTCAATTGATTGGACATGATTTGGAAAGGCACACACCGGTCTATATAAGGTCCCTCAGTTGACAGTGCATGTCAGAGAAAAAACCAAGCCATGAGGTTGAAGGAATTGTCCGTAGAGCTCCGAGACAGGATTGTGTCGAGGCACAGATCTCGGGAAGGGTACCAAAACATTTCTGCAGCATTGAAGGTCCCCAAGAACACAGTGGCCTCCATCATTCTTAAATGGAAGAAGTTTGGAACCACCAAAACTCTTCCTAGAGCTGGCCGCACTCCCAAACTGAGCAATCAGGGGAGAAGGGCCTTTGTCAGGGAGGTGACCAAGAACCCGATGGTCACTCTGACAGAACTCCAGAGTTCCTCTGTGGAAATGGGAGAACCTTCCAGAAGGACAACCATCTCCGCAGCACTCCACCAATCAGGCCTTTATGGTAGAATGGCCAGACGGAAGCCACTCCTCAGTAAAAGGCACATGACAGCCTGCTTGGAGTTTGACAAAAGGCACCTAAAGGACTCTCAGACCATGAGAAACAAGATTATCTGGTCTGATGAAACCAAGATTGAACTCTTTGGCCTGTATGCCAAGCATCACGTCTGGAGGAAACCTGGCACCATCCCTACGGTGAAGCACGATGGTGGCAGCATCATGCTGTGGGGATGTTTTTCAGCGGTAGGGACTGGGAGACTAGTCAGGATCGAGGGAAAGATGAACAGAGCAAAGTACAGAGAGATCCTTGATGAAAACCTGCTCCAGAGCACTCAGGACCTCAAACTGGGGCAAAGGTTCACCTTCCAACAGGACAACGACCCTAAGCACACAGCCAAGACAATGCAGGAGTGGCTTCGGGACAAGTCTCTGAATGTCCTTGAGTGGCCCAGTCAGAGCCCGGACTTGATCCCAATTGAACATCTCTGGAGAGACCTGAAAATAGCTGTGCAGCAACGCTCCCCATCCAACCTGACAGAGCTTGAGAGGATCTGCAGAGAAGAATGGGAGAAACCCCTAAATACAGGTGTGCCAAGCTTGTAGCGTCATACCCAAGAAGACTCAAGGCTGTAATCGCTGCCAAAGGTGCTTCAACAAAATACTGAGTAGAGTGTGATACCATAGGAATACTTATGTAAATGTAATTTTTATTTATTTTTTTATAAATGTGCAAACATTTCTACAAACCTGTTTTCGCTTTGTCGTTATGGGGTATTGTGTGTAGATTGATGAGGAAAACATTTAATTTAAATCAATTTTATAATAAGGCTGTAAAGTAACAAAATGTGGAAAAAGTCAAGGGGTCTGAATACTTTCCGAATGCACTGTATATGACTCTGTCAAGTAGGGTCAAACAAGGGTGTTTATAGTTATAGTAGATGTAAATTATAACTCCGGCCCATAGATTTTCCAGGTGAGGTCATGTTGTCAGGACCCTTACTTTAGCACCAGGTCTTTAGCCATAACGGGCATTTAATGGAACAATTGTTTTGGCTTAAAATAAAGTTTCCAGTCAAGTGACCAGGCCTGCTGAGCCATATCTAACAACCCACCAGCTCACCAGCTCAGCTGGTAGAGCACGGCGCTTGTAACGCCAATGTAGTGGGTTCGATCCCCGGGACCACCCATACACAAAAAAAAAAAATGTATGCACGCATGACTGTAAGTCGCTTTGGATAAAAGCGTCTGCTAAATGGCATATTATTATTATATTATTACATATCCCATTGCCTTCATTTGTATATTT